TGAATTTCATCAGCTTATTGATATATCTAGAGTTTGAGATGTTAAGGAGAATATTTCTCTCCCAACACCACTTTCTTCTTCCCTTTCCATTCCCTTTCTTCTCCTTCTCCTTTCCACCTCCCTTTCTGTGTTCCTTGTTTATTTTCAGTAGTTAGTCACCTATGCAGCTCAGTTCTTCTTTTTTTGATATTTCTTCTTCCCATATTTGTAGTGAATAGTAATTATTTCAGTCTCTTTCCAGATTATGTCAGTAAAGTAGATTACTTCATTTAAGAGTGTTTTCTAACCGTCTCAGACCTTGTTTAGCTGAAACATCCTGGTGACATGGTAAACATAGAGGATAGTCTGTCTGGTTTCAAAAGTTTATTTTTAACGTTTTTTTTCCTGCATTTTCATTGGGGGCAATAAACACAGAAAATGACTAATTTAAATGGTGCAGTTGTAGCTCTCTTAGCTGTATCCATTTGTGGATTCCTTACAGATTTCTCCCTGATCTTGGATATAAGAATCGGCTTAGGTTGGGTCTTTTCTGTCAAAGGATTTAATCAGTAAAAAAAGCATCTCACTAATTTACTTCCCATAGCCTCACTTCATGGACTCTGCTTAACCGGATAAAAGTTTCTATTAAGAGCAAAGATTTGTTATCCTCATCCAGGCAAAATTCCACTAAATGCCCTGGTTCCAGAGTTGATACCCTAAAATAGTTATTGCTTCCCTGAACTTTTAAACTTCTTTGTCTTCAATGCCTACCTCCTGACCTCTCCTCTTTCCAGTTAGTCAACCCTTTAGATGGTGAACCTAAAATTTGCCCAATCCAGGGGAGGGGCAGATTTGAATTAGAGATAAAAACCTCAGTGGACTTCCCACTTGTATTCACTAACCACACTTTTTGTCTGTGGTTCATCTTTCTGCAGAAGTAAATTTTGCCTTGCCTATTGACTTCTGAGTTTTGTTGTTTGTCTTGTGATACCCCATATGCCGCATTCATTTGTAACAACGTGGGGGCTTGCTCAGGATTTTCACTTCACCTTGGGAACAGTGGAGGACCCCCTCCTCCTCAGGGGAGATAATCCTTTTGCAGTGGCCTCAGGGCTGAGGGGATACACTATATAATAGACTGGCTTTGGACATGATCCTAGCCGAAAAGGGAGTAATTTATGTAATGATTGGAAGTCAGGGCTGTACTTTCATCCCCAGTTACACTGCTCCTGATGTCACTACCACAAAAGCTTTATAAGTATTGACTACCTTGACAAATAAATTAGCCAAAAATTCAAGAATAGATGATCCATTTACTAATCCAAGAAGACAATGGTATAAAAAAAATAAAAAGGCATGGTGATATACATACCCACCTGTGTTAGGATTAATGTCCACAGTAGGGTGCTATATCATACCATATATGGGAGAGCTTGTCCTAAGACTGAGACCACACTCACCAAACAGACTCCCATCTCTTAATCAGACAGTCTCCTCTTATTAGACACAGTCAAACAACAAAAAGTCAATTAATGCTAACTACTAGACACAGTCAAACAACAAAAAGTCAATTAATGCTAACTACATTTGAAGAAAAGAACTGTAAATAAAAGGAGGAAATTTTTTTTTAACTGTTGATATCAGGTTACTGTTCTTTTTTTTTTTATTATTCATATGTGCATACAATACTTGGGTCATTTCTCCCCCTCCCCCAAGTCCCTCCCTTACCACCCACCCCATCCCCTCCCTCTCCCCCCCACCCCCTCAATACCCAGCAGAAACTATTTTGCTCTTATCTCTAATTTTGTTGAAGAGAGAGTATAAGCAATAATAGGAAGGAATAAGGGTTTTTGCTAATTGAGATAAGGATAGCTATACAGGGAGTTGACTCACATTAATTTCCTGTGCATGTGTGTTACCTTCTAGGTTAATTCTTCTTGATCTAACCTTTTCTGTAGTTCCTGGTCCCCTTTTCCTATTGGCCTCAGTTGCTTTATTTATTTATTTATTTTTTTAGTATTCATATGTGCATACAATGCTTGGGTCATTTCTCCCCCCTGGCCCCCACCCCCTCCGTTACCACCCTCCCTCTCCCCCACCCCCTCGTTACCTGGCAGAAACTATTTTGCCCTTATCTCTAATTTTGTTGAAGAGAGAGTATAAGCAATAATAGGAAGGAACAAGGTTTTTTGCTGGTTTGAGATAAGGATAGCTATACAAGGGAGTTGACTCACATTGATTTCCTGTGCATGTGTGTTACCTCCTAGGTTTAATTCCTTGATCTAACTCCTTTTCTCTAGTTCCCTGGTCCCCTTCTCCTATTGCCTCAGTTGGCTTTTAAGGTATCCTACTTTAGTTTCTCTGTGTTGAGGGCCACAAATGACTCAATCTGCAGTTTTTTTAGTTGTGTTAGCCTTATCCGAAAAGGGAGGAAAATTCTTTGCATGGAATCAGCTTAGGTTGGATCTTTTCCCTCATAGGATTTAATTATTAAGAAATCTCCTCACTAATTTGTTCCCGTATGCTCACTTCATGGACTGTGCTAATAAAAATTTCTATGAAGAACAAAGGTTTGTTATCCTCAGCCAAGAATAATTCTGCTAGATGCCCTGGTTCCAGAGTTGATACCCTAAGAAAGTTATTCATTCCCTTCTTTGTCTTCAAAGCCCACCTCCTATCCTGTCCCCTTTCCAGTTAGTCATCCATATAGAAGGTGAGTCCAAAACTTACCCTATTCAGGGGAGGGGAAGACTTGCATTAGAGATAAAAACCCCAGTGGACTTCCCACTGGGTGTGCTTGCTAACCAAACTTTTTGTCTGTGGTATACCCTTCCAGACAAGGCAGAAATAAATTTTGCCTTCCTATTGACTTCTGAGTTGTGTTGTCTCTCTCATGACACTCCAGTATCCCAAATTCATTTCTAACATTGGAATTTGTAATTATTGAGCTCCACGGTAGACAATGCCTCCTGGCTATTTTACTTTGTAGTTTCTCCCTGGCTTTTAGTGTTGGAGTTGTTTGACTTACAGGTAGTTGTTAGGCAGAGTCTTTTAAAGCTGTTCAAACAGACTCGTTGTTAATATCCCATATATTGCTTTCAGGAAATAAGACCATTTATGAATGAAGTACTACTCACTCCCTTGTAGCTCTCTCTTACTCTGCTTCCATGGACTCTCCAGTCAGCCGTTTACTTTTAAAACTCTTTAATCCCTACACCAGACACCAGTTTATAAACCTCTTTGTAAGGGATATTTATAGTTTTCATGGTTCCTTTGTAATGTATTGTTCCAGGTTGGCTTAATGAAAGTTTCAGAGTATCACAATATTCTGACATGTTTCTATTTAAAGAAATCCTGTCTACTGATGATATTGCCCAGCATCTTATTTATTACTTTGTTGGATAATGCAAATCACAACATGGCTTCTCTATTATAGCACCTGCATGAAAGGATCTGGTCTTACTTTTAAAACTCCCAAAATGACAAGTAAAGTCACATTTAACATCCTGTTATAAAATTTATTTGTATGTTTTTCTGTCCATCTGTTACTTCTATTTTTTGGCATAGGGTCTCGCTATGTAGCCTAGGCTTACCTCAAACTTGCCATCTTCCTGTCTCAGCCTCCAGTATGGTAATTTATGAGCTTTGATTCCTGAGATGTTATGTTAAATTGTTCTCCTGGAAGTGTTATTTCATTGGATTGATGATACGTAATTTGATGAAGGGCCTTAGCATGGTGTCTTTCTTTATAACTTAGGGAGTTTGACTTAGGCATGGATAGAGATACTTGTACTTCAAAGAGCCTCTTCTTTTGGTTTTTGTTCTTGGTTTGGTTTTGTTTTATGGAACTGGAGGCATTGAACCCAGGGTCTCCCTGGCAAATGTTCTTACCACTTCAGCTTCAGGACCTCTAGGTCCTGAGCCTCTGGTTTGAATTTGTCACTCTTCCTTGTCAGTTTCAAAGCCTATATCCCTCAGTTGTAATTGTATAATGCTAAGGATGTGAAGTAGATAGTTAGTTCATGCCTACACCCACTATTACTTTACCAGTACCTGTTGATAATCATATTGTTACCTGCTCACACCATGCTATTTTTCTGCCTAACAGTATTGGAACAAGTATTGCAGAGGAGAAAGAAGAGTATGTAATAAATATTTCTAGCCTGTCTGCCATCTGTGACATCCAGCTATTTTTTATCAGAAGTATAGTTCTCTCTCACATTGTGATACAGCTATCTTCTTTGCCTGACAGGATATTTCTAATTTTCTTTATTTGACTGATTCTTCAACCTCTTTCTAGCTTCAAAGGCATCTCCAAGTTTAAGTGTGGGGAATAAGCTTATACTCATATGTGTCGTCAGGACCTGTATCTATATCCCATCTCGTTGTTAATCTACAATCATGCTAAGACATTTTAATAGTGAGGAAATTAATGTTCCTTTTTTGAGAAAATAGACTTCTTAAAAGACACATTGGTGGCCAACTGAGCAAGCAGTGACACAAACTTAACATGAATGGAGTGATAGAAAAGTTGTGCTAGTAAAGGAATGGCTGTAACTACAGAATCCATTAGTTTAGTAAGAAGGGTAAATAATACTATAAATATTGTGATGAAATATGGTTTTAAAGACATAATTTTGGAAAGAAGAGTTATATCGTGTAATAATTTAACTCTATGAGACAAGGACAAATACATTTCCAGAGAATACCAATAGGAATCTTACACATATTTAAGGAGCTTGAGTTAATTTGGACTAATGTAAGACAAGGCACTGATATTCATTGTCTGTGGACATACGTTCATAGAAGAATTGGTAAATATTATTTTCATGTTTTATTTGTATTTCCTGAATTTTATATAGCAAGTATAAAGGAAAATACTACTTTCAAAGTAAGATAAAGGAGCTAACTAAAATCTGTGTGCTTTCAGCTTTTATGATGAACTCTACAAAATTTAAATAGTGGTAGAGCTGAAAATAAACATTTGTTTTGGTTCAGATGTTACTTTCTGAATTTTTCAGTGGAAGCGAAGAAGCCCTTTCCAATGAAGACTGTGAGAATGTTTACCATCTGGTGTATTCAGCACATCGCCCTGTTGCTGTGGCAGCTGGAGAGTTCCTTCACAAAAAGTAAGTCAATTATCTTTAAAAACAGGTTCTCCTTTGTATATTGTTTTGCTGCTATTTTAGAATTAGTATAAGAGAGTGCTATTGGCTAGAAACAGTGCTGAAAGTGTCCATTTCACAATACTCTGTGGACTATTGTGGCCTCATAGCCTGTATGTATAGATCATGAACTGTGGCCCTGAGAGTGATATGTGGCATATTCCTTGTGATGCGTTCCTTTTCCCTGATATCTGAAAGGGTAGTTCTCAGCTGAGAGTGTAAGTAGAGATTGGGGAAGTTCATGAAGTATGTTTAAACTCCCCAGGTAATATTTCATTTCACTAGGCTTTTTTTCCCATTTTAAAAATCTGAACCCATTTCTTACCTTTTCAACATATGTAGTCTAAAAGTGAAACAGTATCACCTTCAAAAGGAATGGTTTTTTTCCCCATTCTGTTGGGATGAGGATTATTTTAATCAGTACTTGGTAGTGGTTCTGAAAGTTATATATATAGTTACAATTTGATTTTCTTATATTCCATCTCTTTTTTGGTAAAGCATGGAATTAATGAGACCTTATGAACATGAACACTTATAAAATACATTTTTGGTTTTGGATTACTGTATATGTTCTATAATTTATTGTATTAATTCATTTTCAAAATATAAACATATTCTTGGTTGTGTGTTTTGTTTTGTTTTGTTTGTTTATGGTTTTAACTTAATGACTTTGAGTATTGGCAGGTGAACATAAAAGTCTCTTTACATGTACTGATTTGTGATTGTGCTGAAGCACAATTGTAAATCATGCACAGGGCAACTATTATACAAGGATGATTCATTTGGATAATCAACGGGCCTTACATTCTATCCGGTATCTGCATTTTGATGCTGTAATAAGAACGGGTTCTCTACTCAGTTATATTACCCAAAATGGGAAAAGTTGTTTTTCTTAAATCTTTCTTAAATGAAAGCCAGCTACTAGGACATGTTGGTCATGAAAATCAAGAGGAATAAAGTCAAAATTTTCAGGCATGACTTTAGAGCTTGTCACACATACTGAGCAAACTCTCTTCAACTAAGCTACATTCCCAGCCCCTCAAGCATGACTCTTAAAATAACATTTTGAAATTGCCCATTACCGTCGACATCTGTGTATATTGGGTTGTTGCTTGTCTACAGTATCAAGATGTATTATCTTAATTTCACTTCCCTTTTCAGGATTATTCTTAATTAGAATAATATTTTCTACTTAACTTTTCAACAAACTTCAAAGAGAAAATAAATTAAAGAGGTTATTTGTAGAACAAGATCATAAACTGTAGAATTTTACTTAGAAAAAAACCTTGGATATATTTATTTATCTGTATTATTTGAAATATTTGCCAAACAATTTTTGATTGCAATATTTTACATGAAAATTCATATGGAAGCTGTGCTTGGTGGCTCATAACTGTAATCCCAGCTACTTGGAAGACAGAGGTTAGAAGGATCACGGTTTTAGGCTAGCCCCAGCAAAAATTTAGCAAGACCCCATCTCAGCCAATAAGTTGGACATTGTGACACACATCAGTCGTGTGGAATATGTAAATTATATAACTTCATATATTTTAGTTACCAAGGATCTTCATATCTTCCATTTGCTACCTTTCTGAAAGCCACTCGAAAAAGAAACTCCTTAAACCATTGAGTTAAATACATTTTTAACTAACTTAAACTCTTAATGCTAACTCTCCCATGTGCCTTTTCCAGTGGAATAACTTAAATTCTCCATCGTCATTTTCGTCTAGTGATTGGTTTGTTTTTATATTACTTGAAAATATTTTCATTCTGCTCATTGGATGACCTATTCTGACCTGCATGTTTAAACATGCTATTTTCCTGTCCCTGTTGAAATACCTGAGATAGTGTATAGTTCTCTAGTTTATCTCCAGCCACTAGAGTGAGAGTTTTATTACAATAGGGATTTTTATCTTTGTTCACTGCTACCATCATTTTTACCCAGAATAATTTTTAGAAATAAGGGAACTTTAGCAGTTTTTTTAATTAGAAGAAATCTGTATAGCAAATTAAATTTTTCAAATTTTTTCTTAGCCAGAAGTTTTGACTTCTTAGAAGTTTTGTTACTAAAAAAGTTTTCTAAATGTAGTATTAATGTCCTTTTACCAAAAACAGTAAAATTGGGCTCCAGAGTAACTATTTCTAGATAATGGATTATAAGTATAAAAGAATGCAAGAAGTAATGAAGATTATAAATACGAATTTTTATAATTAACTGCTCAAACATTTGGTTAAATGCTATAATTAAATGACTAAGTCAATATTTAAGAAAATAGAACTCAATTTAAGATTACATGCTCTGATCTCAATTATACAGGATGATAGTGGTGCTTACATTTTATATAAATATTTGAGAATTGACTATTCAAAAGTAAAAAAAGCTTTCTTCTATATTTTATATATGGTGGAAGTACATGAAATTTTTCAGATCCAAACATCTTTTGACCTTCAAACACATTGATTACAGTTGTTTTGAAATAGATTGGTAATCTGATCTGGTTTTTTTTTTTTTAGTTGATCTACTTTATTTTCGTTTTGTTTTTTTTTTTTTAATTTCTTTTATTCATATGCATATAATGTTTGAGTCCTTTCGCCCCTCTTCCCCCCACCCCCTTTCTCCTTTTTCCCCCTCGCTACCAGGCACAAAGTATTTTGCCCTTATCTCTGATTTTGTTGAAGAGAGAGTATAAACAATAATAGGAAGGACCAAGGGATTTTGCTAGTTGAGATAAGGATAGCTATACAGGGCATTGACTCCATTGATTTCCTGTGCGTGGGTGTTACCTTCTAGGTTAATTCTTTTGATCTAACCTTTTCTCTAGTTCCTGGTCCCTTTTCCTATTGGCCTCAGTTGCTTTAAGGTATCTGCTTAGTTTCTCTGCATTAAGGGCAACAAATGCTAGCTAGTTTTTTAGGTGTCTTCCTATCCTCACTCCCTTGTGTGCTTCTCGCTTTTATCATGTGTCAAGTCCAATCCCCTTGTTGTGTTTTGCCCTTGATCTAATGTCCACATATGAGGGAGAACATACGATTTTTGGTCTTTTGGGCCAGGCTAACCTCACTCAGATGATGTTCTCCAATCCATTTACCGCAATGATAAGATTTCGTTCTTCTTCATGGCTGCATAAAATCCATTGTGTATATACCACATTTCTTAATCCATTCGTCAGTGTGGGGCATCTTGGCTGTTTCCATAACTGGCTATTGTGAATAGTGCTGCAATAAACATGGGTGTGCAGGTGCCTCTGGAGTAACCTGTGTCACATCTTTTGGGTATATCCCAAGAGTGGTATTGCTGGATCATGGTAGATCTGTCAGCTTTTTAAGTAGCCTCCAAATTTTTTTTCCAGAGTGGTTGTACTAGTTACATTCCCACCAACATGTAGAAGGGTTCCTTTTTCCCCATCCTCGCCAACACCTGTTGTGGTGGTGTTGCTGAATGATGCTATTCTAACAGGGTGAGGTGGAATCTTAGTGTGGTTTTAATTTGCATTTCCTTTATTGCTAGAGATGGTGAGCATTTTTTCATGTTTTTTGGCCATTTGAATTTCTTCTTTTGAGAAAGTTCTGTTTAGTTCATTGCCCATTTCTTTATTGGTTCATTAGTTTTGGGAGAATTTAGTTTTTTAAGTTCCTATATATTCTGGTTATCAGTCTTTGTCTGATGTATATTGGCAAATATTTTCTCCCATCTGTGGGTGTTCTCTTCAGTTTAGAGACCATTTCTTTTGATGAACAGAAGCTTTTTAGTTTATGAGGTCCCATTTATCTATGCTATCTCTTAGTTGCTGTGCTGCTGGGGTTCATTGAGAAAGTTCTTACCTATACCTACTAACTCCAGAGTATTCCTACTCTTTCCTGTATCAACTTAGAGTTTGGGGTCTGATATTAAGATCTTGATCCATTTTGAGTTAATCTTGGTATAGGGTGATAACATGGATCTAGTTTCAGTTTTTTGCAGACTGCTAACCAGTTTTCCCAGCAGTTTTTGTTGAAGAGGCTGCTATTTCTCCATCGTATATTTTTAGCTCCTTTGTCAAAGATAAGTTGCTTATAGTTGTGTGGCTTCATATCTGGATCCTTATTCTGTTCCACTGGTCTTCATGTCTGTTTTTGTGCCAGTACCATGCTGTTTTTATTGTTATTGCTTTGTAATATAGTTTGAAGTCAGGTATTGTGATACTCCTGCATTGTTCTTTTGACTGAGTATTGCCTTGGCTATTCGGGCCTCTTGTGTTTCCATATAAATTTAACAGTAGATTTTTCAATCTCTTTAATGAATGTCATTGGAATTTTGATGGGAATTGCATTAAACATGTAGATTACTTTGGGAGTATCGACATTTTTACTATGTTGATTCTACCAATCCATGAGCATGGGAGATCTCTCCACTTTCTATAGTCTTCCTCAATCTCTTTCTTCAGAAGTGTATAGTTTTCCTTGTAGAGGTCTTTCACATCTTTTGTTAGGTTTACACCTAGGTATTTGATTTTTTTTGAGGCTATTGTAAATGGAATTGTTTTCATACATTCTTTTTCAGTTTGCTCATTGTTAGTGTATAGAAATGCTAATGATTTTTCTATGTTGATTTTATTCCTGCTACCTTGCTATAGCTATTGATGATGTCTAGAAGCTTCTGAGTAGAGTTTTTGGGTCTTTAAGGTATAGGATCATGTCGTCTGCAAATAGGGATATTTTGACAGTTTCTTTACCTATTTGTATTCCTTTTATTCCTTCTTCTTGCCTAATTGCTCTGGCTAGGAATTCCAGTACTATGTTGAATAGGAGTGGAGATAGTGGGCATCCTTGTCTGGTTTCCTGATTTTAGAGGGAATGGTTTCAGTTTTTCTCCGTTAAGTATAATGCTGGCTGTAGGTTTGTCATATATACTGTTGAGGAACTTTCTTCTATTCCTAGTTTTCTTAGAGCTTTTATCATGAAATGATGTTGGATCTTATCAAAGG